ATTTAACTAAATGCTACCTTAATCTTTAATCTATACTATAAACTTTAAAATACTAGTGTTGTGTATACTGAGCCTAAATAATAATATATTGTAAATGCATACATCACTAGTTGGTTTCTGGAAACCATATCTGTGCGTCTAAGCCTTATATAGTATAATATTTTTAATTATAATATAATTAATTAATTAATTCTTTATTATATTTTGTGTTTTATTGTTGAATATTATTTTTAAGGCAATTAATGCAAGTTTAATAATAAGACATAAACAACTGCATTATCAAAAACAATTATTTAATGGCAGAAATTTAGGTAATACTGTCTCCTAAAATAATATTAAAAATTAATAAAAATATTATACAAAAAATGCTTTAATGCTCTAATAATTCAGAATTTTTATTATTACTCGTATTTATGATCGTTTCATTAGGACAGTCGTCCACAGGTTTACGACCCCAGGTCTGTAATTCCGATGTTGAGAATAATATATAAACTTTTTGTGTAAAAACATTAACAGCAGTACAGGTATAGAAAACGTATGACCAGTTTTCTAACGTTTGCTATAATTGTTAAATTGCATAAAAATTGTAAAATTATTTTTAAATTAACAAATAAATATTAATAAACTTATAAATAATTACTCCTTTCGAGTAGAAGTTTGCGGCGACTATCGGAGCGACAAAACCGGGAATATTTCCGATGGAGTTACAGATTGCCATGAGAATACCCGAGAAGTCTGGGGCCATATCCACGTAATTTGAATTGAATCCGGGATAACAGAAACCGTTGAGTCCGAGCGCCACCACGAAGAATACAATACCGAGGGTTGAGTTGCATTGCGACTGAATGACTGCAATGAAACATATAGCCGGTCCGAAAAATGCTATTTTAACACAATTACACAATCATAATTATTCAGTTGTATATTTGCTAATTGTAAATGGGTTTTGAATACCTATTGAATTATTAATTATACGTAAAATTGAAATATTGATAATTTCCTTCTCTCTTATCTTATCGCTTATATACGACGATATGATTGAGACGAGTGCTAAACTCAGATAAGGAAGACTTGATATGAAACCATTCTAGAGATAAGATTCAAAAGTCGATAAAAGGTGTTATTTTTAAATTAGTTATTTTTGGTTTACTGTTTTGATATCAAAATGAAGAATTTTAGCCAAATAAGTGGGCAATAAAGTCAAAATCGTTAGATAACCCCAACCCTGTCCAAAATTAGTGACTATCATAGCGTAGACCCGATATGATGTGAGAATGTCTTTCCACGGAATCTTTCGTTTCTATGTTTTGAGTATAAAAATAAATAATAATATAATGCATTAAAATTACATTCAAATATAATATATGCCGCAGACCTAAACTGATGTAATCGTATTCGTGTTGAATATAAATGGGCAGTCTCTAAATTGCGTATCTAATGTTTGATCTAAACCTTTATTTCATATACAGAGAGTATGTCTAAACTGAACAGCTCTTATCATTTAATACTAATCCTTAATCCCAGTGGTTTAACCTTTGACCGCTAACAGTGGACTATGCAAATAATTTTGAGATTAAAGATTAATAATAAATGATAAGAGCTGTTCAGTTTAGACAAATACTCTCTGTATATGAAATAAAGGTTTAGATCAAACATTAGATACGCAATTTAGAGACTCTGTAAATGGGTGACAATCGGGCGAATCGTAAACAAAAATAGTCCACAAAATGAACCAAACGATGCCAATGAGTCCCAACACATAGAAGATTGCGGGTCAACCGCCCAAAAAGGTCTCACCGCATAGATATCCGGTTAGTGGGAGAGTGACTACGGATCCGATGGCTGCGCCGGCGAATATGATGGAAATGCCACGACTTCTCTCCAGTCTAGGCATCCATCGGGCGATCATAGCGTTCATAGAGGGAAGGATCACTCCCTGCGCTAAGCCCTGTAATATTCTGGTCACCAGGAATGGGATGTACCCCCAACGGCCCACCACCGGTCCCAACATGGATAGTACAGCAGTGATAAGCATACTGCTCCCGAATATCCATTTGGCACCAAAAAGCTCAGCCAATGCCCCGGCCGGCACCTGTAGCACAATATTGCCATAGAAGTAACAGCCTAATATAGTAACCTGTTCCTGGTCATCCCAGTGGAAGTGACCCTTCGCTCGTGAATTACTGCTTGAAACTGTAGTGTTAGCTCCGGGACACTCCTGGCCTATTGAATCTGATGTCTCCCCACTACTCACCATCGCTACTATGGCTACGCCTAAGAAGCCTTTGTAGGCGTAGACCAAGAATAGGCCCAATGCTGTCAATACGATAAATACATATTGCGCCGGTATATAATTGAAACATAACTTTGCTTCTTTGTATGCCATCACACGAATAATTGAGTACAAACTGAAAACATCTCACTTTTAATATGATTGTGTTAATAAAATATTGCACTTTTACACAATGAAAACTTATTTCATGAAGTTATTAATTAATTGATGTCATAAAACATATGAAAATTATTAATTATTATCCTCTAATCTTTTTATGAGAATATTTTTTATACACTTTAATAATAAAAAACTTAATAATTGTAATAAATAAATTAAGACATTTAACATCATAATTTAATTATTATTTTTATATAATTAACGTATATAAAGTAGCTAGAAATTCTATTTTAAAGATATTTATAAATTAAAATTGTTTATAGAAATTAAAAACTTTAAATAACACCTTACGCTTAGCCTTTTAAACAAACTAGAGTTCAGCATAACTTTATAAAATAATTATTACCGCTAATTACGATAATTTATCAATGTATCAATGGTTTATTAATATAATGCTTTATTTAACAAATCATTAACAGATAAATATAAAAATAGTTTCAATTGTATGGTACGCCAAACCCTCCCTAACCGTTTCGATTTCTACGGCCTCCGCCACCTCTCTGTGCCCGACGACGTCCCGGTGCGTTGGCCACTGAATCGCAATATAATTGTATTTAATACTAATTATTTAATTTTTAAAATTATATGTAAAATAATCATTTAACTCACCACCACCCCCACCTGTTCCACCTCCGCCTCCACCAGTGCCACCACCACCACCAATCAGACCACCACCAAGTGCATTTGCAATATTTTGTAAATTGCAAGCCTGATCACTTTGAATTTGGTTAATATTTATATCTTCTTGAGACTCCATGTTTACACTCTTATCTGATTTGATACCAGTCCCATAGCTAACGGTAAACAGGATAATTATCATTAATAATCCAAAGTTTGTAATCATTTTTGTAAAATCTAATATAATTTAGAAATAAATATGTAAAATGACTAAATTGTTTCATTATAAATAGATTTACTTTATATTTATTTTAGTACTGTATTAGTACAGTAAATATTTAATAAAAATAAAATATTGCTTAAAAGTGCATTTGTTATAAAATTAACAGTACTGTTTGTATACGTAGTTTTAAAATATAATAATTTGATCAGTTATACTAGTGTTATATAATATACAGTATAACATTATTATATAAAGGTTCAGGATACCTATTGCAACATTCATTTACATTGTACTAAATATCATTAGTTTAATTATTAAACTTTAATGTGTAAATAGTAACTGTAATAATTATAAACACATCAGGTAAATAATATTTTAATTTTGCTTTTATTTTTTGAACTTAAAATAAACGGTCAAAACAATTAAATGTTTGTAAATATTTTTTTTGTACTGTACCCGTATACAAAATAATTTATTAGTATGCTAACTATGTTTCAAAAGTTACGATAAAAGCATAATAAATAATCATAAATGTCCATGACCCAAATGCCAACCTATCGACCCCGACCACCACGACGTCCCGGGGAATTGGCGGTGCCGTCTATATCACAATATTTAATAACAATAATTCAATTTAAAGTATTAAATATTTAAAATAAAATGTGTATAGACTAACCGCCCCCACCTGTACCGGTACCGCCATCACCATTACCACAAGCCTGGTCCTCCTGAATCTCGTTGACACCCATATCCCCATCCGGGACCACATTAGCCGTGTCAGGCGATTTGATACCAGCGCTGTCGCTAACCGACCACAACATCAGGATTACACACAAAATCACAATAACTTTCATATCTTTGGAGAATTATTAGAAATAATGATATTTTTATTTTAAAATGAATTAATAATTTTCATCACATTTTTGTCGGGAATTTATACCATGCTTTGTTTACAAAAAGTGAAAACTTGCGTAAGAATTAACTATTGTCTGAAAAATTATTTTTAATTTACCAATTGTTTATTCAGTGAAATGTACCTAATTTACAAAATAATAGTTTGTTAGTATATTGCATCTCATACACAGATTTTTATAAGGAATTTGTAATTAAATATTTATCGAGAATCAGTTTATTTGCTGTACATAATGTACACAAAATTCGCATTAATATTCTGTTAATTACAAATGTATGTTTGTTGATGTATAATGTAATTGTTTTCTATTCAAATAAAACATTTAGTAACTAAATTTTCGTTCAATATATTTCTAAGAACTAATTACTCAATGTAAATTAATCTGTTCAACACGGTCAAAGTGTACAGTACTTTGCAATAGTTTTAATTAGGACAGTTAGCCTTAAATAATAATTTTATAAGTACATTTTATTGCTTAATCAGTAAAACAGTACGGTACATTTCATGTTAAATATTATACAGATGATTATTAATATACATTTATGTTATTCTTTGAAATATATTTTTAAATTTAAACATTTATACAGCTACAATGTATCTGGATTTATCTGTTCATATCAATTTGTTTTAGTAATAAAACGGCTAATATAGAAATTATCTAGAATTAAAAATAAAATATCTTGTAATTTTAATATTTGACTTAATTTGAAATGCTTTATATATTTACCTCATAGCATCGAGAATAGTTTACGATAAATAACTTCCAACAGGTAAAGCCTACTTTATTACAAGCAATTCTCTCAATAAATGAAAGCAACTATAATTTGAAAATATAGTTTATATTAATTATAATTTATATTATATAAAATTAACAAATAACTAAATCCTACTTTTATTTTAGTATTAGTTGTCACATATCGATGTTTTGCACAATTACTATATAATTGATTGAATATATCATAGGATTTATTAACCTCTGAATGCAGTGCCGAAGCCGTGAATATAATTGTAAAGAATATTATTGCCATAAATGCGATCACATAACATAGGATTATCCAGGTTATCGTATCAAATGGCAAAAATAATATAGCAAAAATACCTGTCACCACTACTGTTCCCATAAATAACCAAACAGCCAGCAAATAATGAGACAGATATGTATCATTGTAGTTATTTATATCTTGATATAATTTATCAAAGTGTCTAATTATTAGAGGAATATTCTGTCTTTTAACAAATTTGTGGTCGTGTTGTCCATAATAGTGAATGTCTTGTATTATCTCTAATGTTGTGTCGTTTAATGACTTAGTCTTAAGTTTTAAATAAAAACACAATAAATAAAAATAATTTAATTGCCATAAACTTATATTAAAGTTGTAATAAGAAATTAGCATTAATAGTAACACATTTGGGATTCCGTACAAAATAATGACTTAGTCTTAAGTTTTAAATAAAAACACAATAAATAAAAATAATTTAATTGCCATAAACTTATATTAAAGTTGTAATAAGAAATTAGCATTAATAGTAACACATTTGGGATTCCGTACAAAATTGTATTACTAATGGATGTATTCAGTATATATGGGAATAAACCTATGAAACCAATTAGCGGTACATTTTTGGTACTTATAAATAATGACAATTTGAATAAAGTTTTAGACTTTTGTATCAATCGGTGGACAGTGCGCGGGTCTGAGAGTCCAACACTATTGGGGGTAACCATACCTGACATCATTGTAAACACCCCCAGAAATGTCGGTTCAATACCACACCAGTAGTTATAAATATAAATCCAATGTATGCTGAGGTTAAGTAGTGTCCAAATGGCGGTCGCAATCTTATAATGATATCTAATGCCTAATAAATGAGAAATGTCTCCAATTATAAGTCTCCATCGGATGTCATAGTCTTCAGGTATAAACAGTGGTATTATATTCATAAAGAAATAGAGACATAAAACCAATTGAATTAAAATAGGAGATGAAATCCAGTGCCGTTTTGTTGAATTTGTAGGTGAAGTCAAACATAATCCAAATCTATATAATTGTTTGCTGGCTAATTGTATTTGTAATTCTTTAGGCAACACTTTATTTACATTAATATCTTCCATAGTTTGTGAATATACAGTACTAGTATTAATGTTTTTATATTTAGATTTTTATTTGGAAATATTTGTAACTTACAATACTAGAATTGTAAATAAAATCTTATATATTACCTAAATTAAAAAATCTTTTTTTTATATATAATATGTTGTAATAATGCTACCAAATTAAAGTACATTGCATGATAAAATGAGTGTGATTGTCCATTTGGAATTTTCATTAAATGTACTTTTATTATTATCAATAATGTAGTACATTTAAAATCAATAGAAATGTCATTGTTTTTTCTAGAGATACTTTGCAACTTTATTATAAATATAATTAGTACAATAGTAATACTATTTTTTTAATGTGATTTATATTACTACATTAATTAAATCAAAAAATAATAAAATTACTTTATAATTAATAAGGTATTGACACGCTTATTTGGCATCTATTGTATGAAAAATTAATATATTTCACAATGTTAATTATGCTAATAGTTTGTACTTTAAGTTTTATTTTGTTTAATATTTCAATGTAAAATATTGTGATACAGTATGTAATGTTTACAACTTATACATTTAACAAATTAAATTTAAATTTTAAAAGATGGATTTAACAACTATAGAAACACATAAGTTCATAGTAGATTAGCTTGATTATTAAGATAATTCAATAAGTTTAATGAATAATAAACTTAGAAGCGATATAATCTGTAAATAAAACAAATATATGCATTAGTATTAATAGATAATATAAATATAAATATAATTTATATAACTAATTACTTCATAACACCGAAAGTAATTGATAACAAATAGTCGCCAACAACTGAAACCCACTTTTTTCTCACCCGACCTCTCAATGAACACCGTTAGCTGACAATTAAAATAAATATTATATATTTTAAATTAATTCAAAACTTAAAAGGGATATTTTATTACATTTGGCTAATTACTAAATTAACTATAATTGATAATATACCTTGATTTTGTCAACACTATGTGCATTATAGTTACAAATCGTGTGATTAGTTATAATTAAATGATTTAATAATTTATAAAACTTATTGGCTTCAAAGTTAACCGCCGATGCCGTAAATATAATGAACACCAGTATTATAGCCATAATAAGTATGACATAAATTATAATGCTTTTCGTAATCAAATCCATTTCCATAAATAAAATACAAAAACTACCTGTCACTACCACTGAACCCAATAATAGCCAAACGCTTAACAAATATTTACTCCAATAACTAGTGTTGTATTCATTGATCTCTATGTATAGACTATTCAACGGTACTTATGGAGATCTCTAAACTGAATTAAACAATAATAAGTACTTATAAGACATTTACTGTAAGTAAAACTCAAAATTCATGTTTGTGTCTATGTAATAATAGGTTAAACACCACATACTTATACCGTAATTATAATACGTGACATAACCCAAGAATATAGTGTTGGGAATGCCGTATATAATAGTCTCCCATATGCTAGTACGTATTAAATATGGATAAATACATAACAGACCCATTAATGGTGTGGTTTTAGTTGTAATAAACTTTGTAATTTTGAATAGTTTTTGAGATAATTTAATAAATTGGTGGACAGTGTGTGGGTCCGAGAGTCCGATACTGTTGGGGGTAACCATACCTGACATCATCGCAAACACCCTGAGAAATGTGGGTTCAATACCGCACCAGAAGTTATAATAGAAAATGCATTGAATACAGACATTCATAATCGTCCAAATAGAGGCACCAATCTTATAATATAGACCAAAGTTTCCACCCATTTGTGAGAAATCTCCCAATAACACGACTAAATACAGATTTTCACCAAGATTAATTACTAGTATTAATTGCATTAACAAATATGTCCCCAAAACTGTTGAAATCAATGTTGGATGTGAGGTCCAGTGCCTTTTAACGGAATATATGGGTGGTGTGAGACATAAGCCTATTCTATACAATTGATTGTCTGTCCATTGACTTCTTAATTCCGGTGGCAATACTTTATTACAATTTAAACTTTTCATTGTTTTAGACTTAATATTTATTTAGCAAATATCTTTATCATTATCATTTGATGTTGTAATATGTATGTGTATTATATGTACTTTAATTCAAAAAGTTCAAATTCAAAAGTATTTATTCAAATGTCAACTTAATATTTCGTTATATCTTTGGAGATAATATTCTTAAATATAATAAAAATAAAACTCACAAATATATCAAATACAGTTTATACTGCATATAAACTTAATAACGCTATTTTTACTTCTTGGTCTATGTTTACCAAAGACATTTTATTAAATAAAATTATAATTAATAAACAAAATACACGGAATAAGAATTAAATAAAAATATGCCCAATGAGATTTTAGCATTGATTAGCTGTTTATTTATTTGTTTACACGTTTTGATTTTTAGTGTATTTCAAGTGCAATGATATTTATTAAAAAGCTAATGAAAATTTAAATAATATGCCCGATCATAGATATTCATTAATAAAGATTATTAATATTATCATGAAATTATTATTACTGTAGTAACTGTAGTACTGTAATTACATTGAGTTTAATATCACCTTTAATGTAACAACATTTCTAAGAAAAATCTGCAAAAATAAATCAATACATTATTTCTCAATATAAATTACTGAATCAAATATGATGTGTTTATTCAATTAACATCAATAGTTATACTTAATTTAATTTTTTATTTAACGAGTAAGTTTAATAATTTTATATACCTATTATTTTTATTTATTTAAAATATATTATGAAAATATTTGAAAATACTATACACATATTGGTTGAAAATAAATCATTTTAAACACAATAATATTGAATGTTGCACTAAATTTTTATTTA